GTACAAAGACAGCAAGAAGGGGACTTTTAATGGTCCTGAGGTGCCACTGCATTATGAATACTCCCTAACACGGTTCAAGTCTTAATCCCCAAGTACCTGATTTCTTCAAACTAGCACTAAGGAAAGAATATACGACCTGAAGTTTTAGAGAACACTGATATTTTAATTATAGTAACGGGTTTCATTTGTATTAATCTTCAAGCTTCAAGTAATTACTTTTAGCTTGTCAAAAAGGCAAACAATTTTGCTTTGCACAGTAACTTACTATGGAGGTATATAGTAAAAGACACTGCACATAAGTTGCAACAATTGTAACTTAGGAAAAGTTTCTGACCGTAGGCTTAGACAAACATTGCAACACCTTATGCAGTGAGCCAGTCCAGTCTCTGTCCCTGGAGATACCCAAAACTCAAAGGGCAAGTCCCTAAGCAACCTTATCTAAGGTCTCCCATTTTGACTAAGCAGCATTTGAGTTACCTTCAGAAATTTCTTCCAACCGCTACAACTGTAGAAGCAAACCAAGTTATCATTTGCAGTTACACATACAGTGTATGATCGCTTCTTCAGATAATTGTTAACACTTACCCAAGAAAGTGATTCAAATATCTATTCTGTCCTTCAATCTCAATGGTATTGATGCATTTTTAATTAAAAAAAAAAAACCAACTCAACTCAAGACAACATGCTATCTTCACAAACATTTTCATACATATCCTGAGATGGACTTGAAAATCTTAAATCTTGGAAGGCCTCCAATATTAAAAACTACATGTCAATCTGAAAAGCACTCCTAACTCCCTCATTCTTACTAAAGAATTTCATCAAAATGTTATCAAGGACACTTGCAAGACTTTAAGTCTTTACGTGTACTTTATAGATTACAGTGTAATTATACCCATAAAAGGTTATTCAATTGCAGCTCCTACTCATCTACAGTCTCCAAGTCTCATTTGATGCAATTCTGAAAGTCGGAATTCTAAATCTTTTCAAAATAAACGATGTAGAGCAGAGAATTGCTTTAACACATGTAAATTAGAAATGTTTTTCTGTCAAAAATTCTGCTAATGCTTTCAAAGCAGTTTTAGGAAAAAGGTTTATATTTGCACAGAGAAAAGTACCTGAGCCCCCCACATCGGTAGGCTTGTACATGGAAGTGCAATCTGCTGTCAACGTATTAACACTTTAAAGACAACACTACAGGTGAGAGATTCAGTTTATTGGCATAGACTTTTCATTCCAAAGTACTGACATAAGAAATGAGTTTTCCTTAATCTGACAAAACTATACTGCAGAGTTTAGTTTAACTTTATTTGGTAAATTAGGTGTCAAAATCTACAAATCTAAGAAGTTACGAAGTTCCCCAATGGACCAGGAAGTACCTGGAAGCCATCCAGTCTCACTTTCACAAATGGGACTACTTCCTCATTGTAAGAGAAGTTTTCCTCTAATCACACTGTTAAACCCCATCTTTCCAAAAAAGTGAAACTACTGAGATATAAGCTTACTGAAAGAGGTGTAGATCCGTTTTTTAAAAAAAATATGTTTGACAATTCCCATATTTATTATGTTCAGCATTTTAAAGAATGCAGGAGCTAATTCAGTATCGAACAACTTCATGTGTTCTCCTTTGCCCCCTGAAGGCATCCTGACTTTCTGAGGCTTTATCTCAAGTCATACACAGTTTTAACTACTGTGCTTCGTAGATTCATATTAAAAACAAAAAAACCCCAACCAAATCTACAGAAAACATGTCCCTTCAAGTCACCAAAAATGGACTACAGAACACTAGTTTTATGATTTAAATAGTTTTTGTGCTGTTTTTAATTTGTGCCGTTGTTTGTACATGAGTATTTACATTAGCAAATGCAACTTTTACAGTAAAATCAGTACCTTTCATCAAATATGACCTATATTCATGTAGATAATTCTACCTTTAGTATTTTTATATATGTATATTAAGTTGTTGTAGCTACAGGTAAGAAAACCATTTCTAGATAAACTAGAATAAAATTGAACTGCAAAAAATTGTTACTAGATTTAACAAAACTACTTCAAATATCCTGCATACATAAATAGGTTTTGCATTCAAAACCTGTTAAGTGATAATGCATTATCTATAGGAAGGGTGAAGAAATGATGACACTGTTGCTTGAGAGTTCAGGGCTTGTAGATTTCCACCTCTCACACCTCATTTTTAAACAAACTTATGTTATTCAACATACCTAAATGCTTCTGAACTTTCAGTGACCTATGTGAATAATGCAACTACAAAACACTGTGGATGACAAAAGCTGTCTTTAGCCTTGAAAAATTGCTGCTCCTGGATGCTAAACCAGTAAATTTCACTGGCAACAGTCCAACTTGAGATATTTGGATCTACACAAATCTTACACACCTTATTTGCTACAAACAGTCTTTGTATTCTTTTTTTTAAAAGCTTGCTCAAATTTACTGACACACTCATTGCATCACTGAAAGCAAAGGCTTCAAAAATCTCTTCAAAAATGTGAATCTAGGGAACAAGACTGAGCTCAAAACCATTAATGCAATCTTGAATAGTGAAATGCTCTTTCTAGTTCTTCTCCTTCCTTGATTTTAAAGATTCTTTGCCTGACCTGTAACAATCTGGTCTGCCATTATTCCAATTATGCCCATTTCTATATTCTCAATTATCTGAACACTGCAAATTTTAAACTTGAATTATGCTACAGCTAAACACTGTCATCTTAAATTTAGCAATAGCAAGGTATATGGAACTGCCTACTGCCTTTGCAGCACTTAATCTTTTGACCAAACATGAAGACATGAATCAAGACCCTTCTGAACTTGTCCTATCATTACATCACTCGATCTCCTACCTATTTGTGCTCATACATCATTATTACAAGTCTGAGTCACAAAAAAAAAAATCTGTTATTTGGTTCACCTTCTTTCCTCCTTGAGTTTTAGGAGTTTCAAGGTTCTAGTTATGCTTCTACAGAAATTATCTACAAAACTACATGACCACCATCATCTGCATCAGCCTTCAATACTATCAGGTCTGTATCATAGGAGGAAAGAACATAAAGGAGCAATGTGATTCATTTCTCATGAAAATCAATGTTTGCCTCTTCGCATCTATTCCTGCATTTATTTATAGTCCCAACTGGATGAGTGAGAAGGGTGTGTTTGTCAAATGTCGTCCAGCTGTTTTTTTTTAAGCTCAGTAAAACTGAATATTCAAAATAACATTTTTATTGTACAACGATGGCACAAGTTAATGCATTAGAAATAAAATCTTAAGGTATCTCATGTATATCGCCCCATGTATATTTCCATGTTACCCATCGTTGGTTTCTTAGTCAATAAAATATACTATCAGGCTTGGAAAATTCCACTGGTATAGGAAAGTCAATATTATATGGGACTGATAGAGAAATCAAATTTACAATGGATGAATGCTCATTCTAATCACTTATACCAAGGCAGGAACAGTCTCTATGAGTCTCTGCACTCATTTTTGGAGAAAAAATGAAATTAGTAAGTGGAAGAAAGTTAAGAACTTAACTCCATCAGCCACAAAAGCACAGACAGTGCTTCCAAGATCATAGAGACAAGATAAAACTGTCATTCTGTCTTTTATTATTTGACAGGACAAGAAGCAATGGGCACAAAATGAAACACATGAGGTGCCATCTGAGCACAAGGAAACACTTTTTCTCTGCAAGGGTGACCAAGCACTGCCACAGGTTGTCCAAGGAGGCTGAGGAGTCTGCATCCTTAGAGATTCCCAAAAGCCATCTGCACATAGTACTGGGCAGCCTGCTCTAGATGACTCTACAAAATTATGTCCAAGGATCCCTTCCAATCTTAACCATTCAGTGATGGCAAGATAACTTGCAAAGTATTTTCAGCATACCTTCTGGAACAACGTGCTTGATTTGTGTTACTTGTATTTTGTACAAGGGGCTAGAAAAAACGCAATTACCGCTTATACTTCTGGATCACATTACTACTTCTATCAACAGAGAGGTGGCATTGAAATGTGAATTAGGTAGAGGAAGGAAGAATTTTCAAACCTCTTGGGAAGAGGAGAGCAAGATCTTGGTGCTATGCACCCCTAGGCATATCAGGGCATTTCTAGTTCTAAAACAAGGTCAAACAGAAAATCTGCTTTACTGTAACCACTGAGATATTTTAGACATCCTTCTAACTTCAAACAAGTTTGAAACATCATTTATTGATGCCTTCCACATTTGAGTCATCTCACAACTTCCACAGACATGAAAGTATAGGTTTTTTAAGTGGAAAGTGAGCAAGAGCATACGTTACATAAGGGCAGGAGCAGTGCACCAGCACCATGTACACATAACACCACACCCTAGCTTGGAAACAAGCAGCTGCCGTGAAGCTGGATCCCACAGAGGATGACAAGGAGCAGCGATAACTGACGTCTCACAAAACATCCTGCTCTTTTTGAGACTCTTCTGGAAAAATCTGCCTTAAATTTGAGTTTCCAACTGCCACAAAAAGAGTACATGGTACATCTCGTTAACATCTGCTCCTTGACCTCACACTTCCCCAGTTACTGCCTCCTAGCAGGAAGCAAAACAGCCCGCCTTATTCCCACAGCTCCTTCCTCCCGTAAATCACAGGTATCCATCCCATCTCCCCCGGAGCCTGCGGGGGTGCCTGGGGACGGCAGGCCGGGTGCTTGGGAGCAGCCGGCTGGCACGGGCACGGCGCCTCGGGAACGGGAAGTGGAGGTGGGGGAAGGGAAAGCCCTTCCGCGTCTCTTCTGCCTCTCCCTGCCGGCCCCGCGCCCCGCACGCCGGGCTGGGGCGGCCAAGGGGACCGGCAGAGCAGCGGCCGCCGCCCCCGCCGGGCCCCGGGCGCCTCCCCCGCCGGGTCCGCACCGTACAAGGCGCGGCGGGAGATGCGGCCGGGCCGGGCCGGCCCTGCCCCGGCCTCCCCCGACCGTCCGCCCGCCCCTGCTGCGGCCGGGCCCGGCTGCGCGGCCACGCTGGAAACAGGAGCCCCGCCGGCTCGGAGGGACGGAGGACAAGCGGGCGGCTCGGCGCAGCGTATCCACCCATCCCTACCTTCTCCTCGTCGGACAGCTGCTCCTCCAGGTCCGCCATCTTCCCGTCCGGCTGCGCCCGCCCCCTCCCGCTCCTCCTTCCCGGCAGGAAGGGCGGGACCGCGCGCGCTCCCGGCGGGGGCGGAGCCTTGTGCGCGCGCGCGCGGCGGGCGGGGATCCCGGAGTGAAGAGGGCGTGTTGGGAATGGAGGGGCGTGTTGGGAATGGGAAATGGAGGATCCCGGAATGGAGGGGCGTGTTGGGAATGGGAACCGGGGGATTCTGGAAGGGTTTGACTAGCAACTAGAATTATGGGCAGCCAGAAGTAAAACTCACAAAATCAGTTAGGTTGGAAAAGACCTCTGAGATCATCAAGTCCAACCTATGACGAACACCACCTGTTCAACTAGACCATGGCATCCAGTCTCTTCTTAAACAGCTCCAGGGACAGTAACCTCCCTACCTCCCTGGTCAACCCATATCTAACATCTAATTTATCTAATACGTCTGATGTATCTAATACATCTAATATACCTAATATATCTAATCACCCTGTCAGTGATGAAATTCCTCCTAACATCCAAAATAAAGCTCCCCTGGCACACCTTAGGGCTGTGTCCCTTGTCTTGTGGCTGGTTGCCTGGAAGAGGAGACCGACCCTGCCTGGCTGCAGCCTGCTTTCGGACGGGAGGAGAATGTCCAGGTTTCGGCCCCGCTGTGGCAGGAGCTCAGTGCGGGTCACTGGGTGCTGGGGCTGGGCCCAGGCACCCATAGGTGCTGCAGGAGCTTGACGGAAGATCAGTCTAATACCAGCGACAGAGAAATCTGTGAAGTGATTTGTACTGTAGAAGATTGGACATGGAATGGGGTCAGTGGGAGAAAAATAAGTAGATTTGAAGTTTTTTACCTCCAGGCTGAGAAATTGTGAAGAATGTCATCCAACGGCACGGCATTGCAGGTACATGGGGATTTGGGATGATGACTTGAAAGGATTGCCTCTGGGATAGTGGTTACTCTTTGGGAACATTTAAAAATACAGTTTCTTAGTGTCCAGCACAGTGTACTTCACCTCAGTTATGATGGACAAGGAAAAGCTGATTGTTGATGGGAAAATCACAGGTGTTGAGATACACCTATGTCAGTCACAGTTAGTGGTGTGAATGTAGCCAGCTTCAAGCCAAAGGATCTTGTTGTACTATGGAGTTCATCCACATCTGTCTTTCTTGCATGAGTATTTCTGCACAAATGTTGCCAACATGTCGTAGAGCAAAATATACCTATATCTGTAGAATTTTTCAAGGCTGTTACTCTAAATACTGTAAGAGGACTGTCACATGAAAATGAAGGAAAGTGAAATTGGACAAAAAGTTGTTTAAGTCAAATGTGGGTATTACAATGGCACAAGAAAAGTCAGGAATGAAAACACGTACATGAAAATAAGTAAAAATAATTCATGTATAAGCTGGACAACGTGGCTGGTTCAGGACAGTTGAAGAAAGGTTTAAAATACCTGAAGCCATGGAAGATAAAGATAATGGACAGTAGTGTATTTATGTCAGGAACAAGATAAATGACAGCCAAAGCTAATGTTTGATAAGACCGTTGCTAGATTTAAAGTGAGGTATAGAGCAGGAAATGTGTATCTAAGAGATATTTGGGTTTTGAACATTCTATGTATATTATTTAGATTCAATAAAAAAAGGTAGTGGTCTGTGGCATGGAACAGTATTGTGCAGCATTCATGCAAGTGTCCTCTCATGCAACAGTACTTTATAGATTCCACCCAGGAGTCTTTAAGAGTAACTACCTGAGGTCTGTGAAATGCTCCTTTTAATTTTTAACACACCTTGGGACTTTCCAGCTGGGGGGTATTGCCATGGGTGTTGCTTTATTTAATATGTATCAGGAGGATAGTTCAAAATGGCAGATATTCTCAGATAAATGTGGACAGTTTTCTTATACATTAATACATCTGTTTGTTGGATGTACCATGTTTACACCAAATTGTTATTGGAAGTGTGCTGAAACTAACATGATGAAGTGAATGATTCAGAGGAGGACATTGTAATCATCATAGAAAATGATGTGAATCTTCTTAATGGTACCTTCACAGGTACTTTACTGTGACCTTAGGACTTAATGGGAAATGAGTAATCATGCAGAAATAATGTGACTTTGTGACTTCGTATTTTGTGACTAAAGTATTTTGGAATGTTTGTATGTCTTCTCAGGAAGAATATGGGAATTTCAGAGGGGTTTTAATCCTGGAGATGCAGAAAAACTTTCAAGATATGGGGCTTAAGGATGTCAAGATTGAGAAGTGATTTTGGATATAGCAGTGATGCACGAGTTAGTTTGGAATTTAAACGCATCTTCTCTGAAGTCGTCTATCTCTGTTTGCTGTTTTAAATTGAATACAGCTAATTTTCAACCAGTAAATCTCATTTATAAAATTTAATATTTTTCATGTGTCGTTATCTCTACACACTGATCAAAGGTTAATTTGCACTACAATCACGTACAGAACAGCAAAATATCCTGATCCTTACTAGCTAGCTCATGTCTTTGCAGCTGTCTAGTCCTGCTATGTGAAGCTCACCATGGGCTGGCAGATCTGTCTGATGATCAGCATGTGGTTTAGTGATGTAGTGAGAGAAAAATTAATTAATTTTTAAAAGAACCAACCCAGCCCCCAAACAACAGCTATTGAGTTTCACTTAATCTGATCAGACACAGAGCTTCCAGTCGAGTACGTTGCTATTTTGCTGTACTGCTTCTGTCATGTTTTGGTATTAACTCTGTAGAGCCAGAGCCCTGGCCCTTGAGTAGCACTGGGAGGGAGAGCATAGAGCTCTGCAAGATCTCCCTGCAGGGCTACCAATATGGCTTGAGAGAAGTGCACTTTCTGTGCTAAAGCCATCCTGAAGATTGGTAATGAGGTGATAGGGCATAGTGGTTAACACAGCACACTTGTGTCCTTCTGCACTGGCCCTGAACATTGAGATAAATAATGCAGAAAAAAATAAATTATATTTTAATTCTCCTTCATCAAGGCAGGTGATTGACATTTTATCTATTGCAACTGCTCAAAGGACAAATTCATGAGAGATCTATTTGGGGCCTGCTTGTTTAACCTGAAGGGTGTACAACATTCTGTTTTCTAGGACAAAGATCAACTCTGGCCAAGCTCTGAGCCTGGCTCAGGTAGAGCTTCTGGCAAGAGGAGAGGAGTGCTCAGAAAGGTGGGGCAGCCTGTCCCTGATACCTGCTCCTTTCCATGGGAAGCACCTTCTTGCATCCTGATACCTGTTGGAATAAATCCTCAAGTTCCTGTGAGATGGTAGGAGACATACTCCAGTTCCTGAGATTCCCGAGTATGTATCAGATTTTAGGGCCTTGGGAATAGTCTACCAAATTGTGTCTGTGTGTTTGGGGCTTAGTATTTGCAAACCTCTCAATTTGCTATTTGTACCTTAGAAATCCTTAGCAGCAAAAGCAAATAGGATTCTTCTAGACAAGTTAAGTGATAAATCCTTAAAATAGTGTTGGAAAGAAAGCTGTGATAGGTAGAAAAATATTAGCAAGTATAACTGTAGAGTAAGCCTGAGACTGAGCAGCCTTCTTAGATAGCACTTAGGGTATTTTAGACCCTAATGGATATTCAAGGGAATGACTCCAGTAGCCCTTCATTTACTGTGGAGGTGCTTCTTAAAATGATGGAACAGCCCAGCTTGGAAGGGATCTTGAAAGATCAACTGATCCAATCTTTTGTGGGAAAGGGAGCATAAATGAGATTTCTCTCTTTCCAACTGAACTTTCCAATTACCCCATCTTGGAAGTTGTTAAATGTCTTTCCTATAGCAAGATTTTTGCTGATACCTTAGAATGTACTGTTGGTAAATTTATTGGGTTTTTGCTCATCAATTCGTCAAAAAGTTCATGGTCCTGCTTACTGTGACATTTTTTAAATTGTTACACTATTCTTTATGCTTTACAACCATAATACTTTTGGAAATTTTGTTAATTTTGCACCACATTTTATGCTTTTCATGGAGACTATGGATGCAATGACAAACTGGATATTTAGAGTGTACAGCTTTTGTCAGTTAGAGGGGTCTTTACTAACACATTTACCTTAGAAACTCTTTTAAGTTTTTAAGCACAGAATTGCATTCAGATCTTATCCATGCTTGCTTTGTGACTTCTTATTCTGATTTTATTCTAAGAAATTTTCTCAGCTTCTTTATCCACCCCATCCCCTAGCTTGCCTTACATAATTAAAATTCAAAGTCTAGTATTTGCCTTTCTTTTGACATGTACCCATGTTTTAGGAAGTAGATACCGATGTCGTTACTTAGATTTATCTTGAAATGCAGACCAGTAGTTCACTTTAGTGGTTACAACAAGATTTAATTCTCCCATAAATCGAGATGCTTTGAAGTAGAGTGGAATTATTTATTTGTGATACAAAATTTGTATTCAGGGATGGGAACGTGCAAAAGGAGGGTGGAAAAGAGCAAGTGTTGAGCATTTTAGAGAAGGGCAACCAAAGAAAGGAGATACTCCTAGGTCTTTGTTGGCTGCTACTCCATTTCCATCAGAGACAAAGAGGTGTGAGGTCAATGGTCAATAGTGCAGCAACACCTGCAAAGAGCTGAAGTGAACAAGAAGATAAGGATGAAGTGCTGCATACTGAACCATCTACTTTGGATTCTAGTCAGTCTCCAAATAGCTTTCTAAGTGAGCAATATTTACATATTTTCACATTGTACTGGTTCTGTAGCCTGTATTCTTCTGACATAAGAGTTCTGATTGTAGGTTTCTCCAAATATGTTAGTTATCTTTGCTATCTTAGTATGTCAGCTTTTTAAAAGCCACAGTGTTAACTATTAAAATGTTGTCTATAGCGGCCAGCTTCTTTTCTTTACCTGTCCTTTGACTCCTTGAATGTATTGTTTGATAAAATTGTCAGACTTGCAAAAGGCCTTAATCCAAAATTCCCTGAGAAGGAATCCTGATTTCCTGCTGAAATGTAAAAGGAAGTACTGTCAAGCAAAAAAGATTAATGATTTCTTATAAAATGTCTTTCATTACAGAAAATCTTCTCTCAGTTCTGATGCAATGTGAAAAACAACCGAATAATTAAAGTGTATTCTAAAAGTGCCCTTGAAGTTAGCTGTGCATGATGGATTGCTAGAACTGAGCAATTTTGGGGGCTTAAATAAAAACAGCAGAGTTTGCAGGGAAAATAGGGCAACTAGAGAAGTTTTCTGTAGGATTGTTTACAGTATCTATGGAGAAGTTGCCAGCTTAATCTATGCTAAAGTGCTAAATATTTTATTAATAAATTATATCATAGCCATGTGCTGTGATAGTGCTTTGGAAAGAAGAGTATTAGTATGTCTGTTTTATAGCTTTTTTAAAAAAGATAAATACATTTGTTATAGTCAGGTACAGCTAGAAGCTTTCAAGAAGAACATTTATGCATTGCAAAGAGTTCAAAGAAAAATCAGGGACTGGAAAATGCAAGCAATACAATCTCTGATTAGTTTTATTAACTAAAAAAACTTCTTAAATGTTTGTAGGTACTTTTGGGGATATCAGAAAGTTGTGATTAGGATGTTTTGGTGTATTAGAATACAGGATTCCTGGCTAGTACTTAAAACAGGACAAATTCAGGCTAAAAATAAACATAATGTTGATTGTCAGAGCAGTTAGCTATGATTTAATGATTTAACCACTAGCAATTGCACTAGCACTAGCAATTTTAAAGTAAAGACTGACCATTTTTCTAGAACATACATTCTCCAATTCAGCGATGACTTAAGGAGTCTTATGATCTATGTTGCAGGAGAAGGTAGCAAGGAATATCCTGAAGCAATCCCTCCTGACACTGAGTCTCTGAATCCTTTTCCTTTTCAGCATCTGATGGACAGAAACTGAAGTTAGAATGGAAGTGGCTCCACAGAAGAGAAGAAGAGAGAGGGTAGTAGAATGTCATGAACTGAATCCAGTGAGAATGGAGTACAAAAAGGAGTGAAAAAATGTACCAGGGAAATTATTGAGGGTAAGGTGGGTATTAATGAAATAGGGAATATCATGGTCAAATGAATCATCTGTAAAAAGGTTTAATTGAGTATTTAAAGTTGGATTATTGGGTAATATTTTTGATACTTAGCTGATAAACACCTGAGTCTCAGCTCATGACCCTCAGCTACCATCAACAGGGAAGCACATAAGCACTCCAAAGGTGAGATTTTTCTGTTCTAGTTAAGACACTTGTCTTAGGACATGATTATTGCCTATATGAGTTCAGACCCAGCTGTCTAAATATTAGGTACCTGTATTATGACAGCCAAATGCCCTTTTACTATTAGAAGATCCAAAGGAAAGAAGGTGGTGGGCCAGTGAAGAGGCACAAGGGCTAAGGGAAGAACACAAGGGGCAGCTGAAGTTAAAAAGTTAAGGGAAAGGAGAGAGGACTGGACTTGTAGTTGAGCACTGCTCTGTGCTCCCTAGGGAAGCTGTACTCAAAGAGGGAAATCACATATTTATGCACAAAGGACTTTGTACCAAGAGGGCTGTACTTCTGTACTGCCTCTATTGCAGCTCCTACTCAGACATCAGGAATGCTGTATCAGTAGCTATTGATAATATGGAGATAGAGCAGGGTTAGGATTAGCAAAGGAAGAGGATAGGCTAGGGGCTAGGAAACAGAGCAGAATCAAAGTGTAAGGGTTCTGCACCCCATAAAGGCTAAAGAGGGCCCTTAAGATAACACTGTGCCTTACAGCAAGTCCAAAACTTCTCCAGCCTGAACCAGCCTTGCTCTCTTTCACTGTACCTATTTGTTTGCCTTTGCTCTGTACCTGGATAAATTGAGAAAGTAAAACTGAGGAGAGCACTGTTTGCCCCAGCCATCAGATTGTTGCAGGAATAGAACAGTAGCTCACAGGATTTGAGCAGCCACCTGATTTTGAAAAGCTCCATGAGAAAACATAAAAATTCATTTCCTTCCCTCTCACCAAACCTGGTTCTTGCTTGTATTTTTAGTTATTCCTTTCTTAAAAAAAACCCTGTAGTCTTCTAGCTGGATTTATTTACTTTTGTTCTAAAGGAGACATTGTTTGACAATTTTATTTTTCAACAGGAAGTAGTAAATGTGCTGATTTGTTTAATGAAGTTGAGATTCACTGTAGGAGCCCAAATTCCTTTTTTGTTTTACTCTCTGTCGAACTGAATGTCTTATGTAGATAAAATCTCAGTAAAGATAAACCATTCAAGCACATGTGAGTGAAGAGCTGAGAATTTCTGGGCTAGTGTAGAGAAAAATGCCTCCCAGAGTCAGTGGTACTTCATGTTGTTTAACAGTTGTGTGGGGCCTTAGCTTTTGATCTTGTGCACATATTGGAAGGAATAGTAGGAAGAGAAGGTTGGATTTTGAAGTAAAATAATGTAATTATATTTTTGAATGTTGGGCCTCTGAATGATATGCAGCATAAGCACTTGAGCACACTTGCTTCTGACCTCAATAAAAGTTCTGAATACTAAATACTTGTGAAAATGAGGACAGTGTCCAAATGTTCATGTAGGAACATTACTTCTTTTGTCTACTTTTGAAACAGTTGCCATATTGTGTATTTATCACACTGATCTATTAAAAGATAATTTGTTTGTGTTTTTTTGTTTGGTGATTGTTGTTGTTCTTCAGTGTTCTGTTTAATCAAAAACTGTGGTGCAATATGCTTGTACCAGCCAGGACTCACATGTGGCCTTAGAGCCCAAGATCTGCTTCCTTGGGAGATCTGTCATTTCTTAACACTGCACTGGAACACAGTGAAACCCCATTAGATGTAAAAGATACTGGAGAATCCATCTTGCCATTTGACTTTAGCAAAAGTAATCCTTTATGTGACTGTAGTAATTGCATTGTTCTCAATTTTCTGTTGTCATAGAAATTTGACACTACAAGAGAGCCAAGATTTTACCCACATGGATTCTGAAGCTGATGATGGCTGTGGATCAGGTCAGGTAAATTAAATGAGCAGGAATCAAGGAAGGTTACAGGTAAATGGGCATTGTGTCTGAGGGAATGCTAAGTTTTATATTACTATACATTGTCCCAAGATAGCATTCAACTTGTTTGACTTAAAACCCCTACATTTTCTGATTCTGAGGCCTCAATTTTACACTTAATTTGGTTTATAATGGTACAGAGGTCCGTTGCAAAGAGCAAGATTAATATCAGAGGTGTAACAAACAGTGCATTATTAATTGTATTATTAATTTAATAAGTTCAAAACAAGCATTATTAATCAACAAACGCTTGTTTTGAACTCAGCTGTGACCAATTTCATAGGCTTCATATGGACAAACCCTTATTCAATTGTTTAAAAGGAAGAATTTTCACCCCCTCCCCTAAATATTTCCACTGTTGATTATCTCTATGGAAATGAGTTTTTAATTAGATTGACAATTCCGTTTATTCCCAAGAAGTTTGTAAAAAGGGAAAATACTTTTTGTTGTTGCAGTAAATTGGTTTATAGGGATCATTCTGCCTCAACTCTCATGAAGACAATTGACAAAGTCTAATGCAAACCCAGAGAAAATACATCTCACCATAATGTCCTCAACAGCCCCCCAAAGGAGTAATTTTTTGGTTAAGAACAGCGAATCAGAAAAAAAGTAACACAAAGATTAAAGGTCTGATTTTACCAGTTTCATTTCTCCAAGCTCAAGAAATGCACAAAGGAGTAAATCATTAAACCTACTTTGGAAAAATGCTGTCATTTTCCTCTTAGTGGCACTTTAGAAAGGATTTTGTATGGACTAACTGGGAGTAGAAAACCTTACAACTGTAACTGTATTTTGGTCATAAGTAATAACTCACTAAAAATTTTTAATATCTAGATGAACTATTTTGAACCAAAGAAAATGCTTTTGATCCTGTAAGGGAACAAAGCTTTATTCCAAATATACTTTAACCAGTTTTCCAATTTTTAGAGAATTGCATTTGCTACATACCTGTGCCTGTTTTAACTCCTGTTGCTGTGCTCTAATGATATCCCTGACTGATATGGATCAGTATTAATCTGAGAGAAAGCCTCGTGTACATTCTTTGCAAATGGTAGCTCAGGCTTTTGCAATCTGTGGAAAGTTAGAGCAAATACTGTGCTACACTTCCTTCCTCACAGTAAGATTTTGAAGTTCTGTTTTTAGACTCTCATGTCAGATCAGCATATGCAGCAAAAAAAGAAGTCACATGTCTCTGTTGTGATATGTAGGATAAAGTGATGAAGAGCTACAAGCAGAAGTGGGATATCTAGATATGTAAAGTAACAGCATCTAGTGTGATGAAGAGGGTTATCTAGTCTCCCTATTGCTTGGTTTTTGAATTTTTTTGGCCCTCAAGAGTAATTTTTTAGGGAAGGGGGAAAGAAGGGCAGGAAGGTGCCCTTATAGATGTTTCAGGTTCAACACAGGACAAAAACAGTTTTCTTGGAATGTCATGGTAGCAGAAAATGAGAGTTTGATAACCTATGAAGGACCTAGAAGGAAAGAGGGTGGAGGTGGTAAGACACAGGTGGGCCACTGCCTTCCTGTGCTGCCTGCTGACACGATGACATGAAGAGCTGTTTCGAAACCTGGTTGAGCTTACAGAACTGCTGTAACCGAGTCCAGCTTCCTCATACAACTTGTGTCATCACACGTCGTTTTCTGGCTGTCCCCTTGTGTAGTACCTGATGATTGGACTTGGTGTGTTAATTTTTGGTAGTTCTAGCTCTTCATTGCCACTTGTTTCTGGGTTTGGCTTTACATTCCTTTTAGTCACGGTCTTCGCTCTGAGCCACATCAGATTCCACCATTGCTCGCTGCCTTGTCTGCTGGGAATCTCCTGGGAGCCAGGGAAGAAAGAGAAGACCTAGGAAAGGAGTGGGGAAATGGGAAGATGGGGAGAAAAGGGAAAAGATCTCATGTAACTTTTTTCCTTGCAGCACATTGCTCTTCACAGTTTCCATGCAATACAGCCTGTCTCTTGTTGTGGGCTGTATTCCAGGGAAGGATTTTTCAACTGGTCTGTTAATAAATCCTGATTGAGTCACGAAAGTCTGTTGCAGCTCTCTAAACCTGGCAAAATTTGAGTTTTGTTGTGTGTATGGTGGACAGCCTGGTGGGGTCACATGCTGGTGATCAGCCCTGCTCATGGCAGAGGCTGGGAAGAACAGTGGCAAGGGCCTGATCCTGCCCATGGAACAAGATGGAGAGGAATGAACTAAAATGGGCCAGGTCTATGTCGTACCAAGGGTTTTTGTGTTTTAACTTTTACAGGAATTTCTCTTGGCCAACCAAAAGAAAACAAAAGGGAAACTAAAACAAACAGTGAAGGGTTTCCGGTGAATGTCAATGCACTAGTTCCCCTGATGTCAGGGAGAAGCTGATAAATAAAGCTGCAAAGTCTGAAGGATGTGTGCTTGACTTCTGTGCATGCTGCACACATCTGTGTCCCAATGTCAACTGAGACGTGCCTGACACTATATTTTATGGATTAAAGATTAGTGATACCAGGCTATAGGTACAAAAAAACCCTGGTGAAATACGAGTCCTTAGGGTAGAAGGGAATCTGAGGCAATTGGCATAGAGATTGTAATCTTTCTTTTCCTGCTGCAGGATATACAGCCTTAATTTTAAGGTCTCTTTTGTAGTTTAAGGCAATCTGTATTAAAAGCTGACAATGAATGTACTCTAATCTAGTGTAGAGGGCCAAGTATGATACTAGATACAGTGGAAGGGCTGTATAGGATTTTGGGAAAAGGGAGCTGCATCTGTATTCTGTTTACCTGGAAGGGACTGCTGGACATAGGTACAGACTGAGGAATGAGATGTTGGAAAGCAGTGCTGCAGAAAGGGACCTGGGGGTCGATGGCAAGTTGAATGTGAGTCAGCAGTGCCCTGGAGCCAGGAGGACAACCTGTGTTCTGGGTTACATCAGGCACAGCATCACCAGCCAGGCAAGGGAGGGAATTGTCCTGCTCTGCTCTGGGCTGGGGCAGCCTCACCTTGAATATTCTTGGCGGTTTTGGGTGCCACAATATAAGAAAGATGTAAAGCTATGAGAGGCATCCAGAAGAGGGCTATGAAGATGGTGAAGGGCCTTGAGGGGAGACCATATGAAGAGCAGCTGAGGTCACTTGGTCTGTTCAGCCTGGAGGAGACTGAGGGGAGACCTCACTGCAGTTACAACTTCCTCATGAGGGGAAGAGGAGGGGCAGACACTGATCTCTTCATTCTTGTGACCAGTGACAGGACCTGAGGAAACTGCATGAATCTGAGTCAGGGTAGATTTAGGTTGTATATTAGGAAAAGATTTTTCTCCCAGAAGGTGGGTGAGTACTGGAACAGGGTCCCCAGGGAAGTGGTCACAGCACCAGCCTGACAGAATTCAAGAAGCATTTGGACAATGCTCTCAGGCATTGGTGTGAGTCTTGGGATGTCCTGTGCAGGGCTGGGAACTGGACTTGATGATCCTTGTGAGTACCTTCCAGCTCACCATGTTCTGTGATTCTAACAAAAATATTTGAAACATATGGGGAAATTTTTTGTCTATTTTATGCATAATATAAAGATTATAACTTGGGTTGGAAAAGACCCTAAAGATCACCTAGTTGCACCTTCCCCCCTACTTTGCCTGCCCCTGCCAGGGTCAGGGATACTTTCCACTAGAGCAGGTTGTTCAAAGCACCATCCAGCCTGGCCTTCAGCACTTGTAGGCATGGGGCATCCACAGCTTCTCTGGGTAACCTGTTCCTTTGTGTCACCACCCTCACAGTAAAGAATTTCGTTCTGACATCTAACCTAAATCTGCCCTCTTTCAGTTTAAAGCCATTCTCCCTTTTCCTGTCACTCCATACCGTCATAAAAAGGCCCTCTCTAGCTTTCCTGTAGGCCCATTCAGACACTGGAAGGATGCTGTCAGCTCTCCTTGGAGTCTTCTCCAGGCTGAACAACTCCTCTCTCAGCCCAGATAACATCCAAAAATAACAGAAATATTTCAGTGTAGCTGTTTTGAAACAAAA